TTCAAGACAAAATACACTTAATGCTAAGTCAAGAAGTATAAAAAATATTATTGTAAATGAAGGTAACATAGTTATAAGTATATCATACCCGTATTACGTATAATATGAAAATTTAACAAAATTTATACTTTGGAACAATACACCAAGTTGTTAATTTAGAACGTAATAAATACTTTTCAAAGGGTTCTTTATAAGTTAAATTTTCTATTTTTAAAAGAAAACATTCAGATTCTAAATTTTCGATAATGTAAACACATTTTACTTCATCATATTGTCGTGTTTTCCACGGTTTCGCCACTAAATATGGAGTTCCATCTGATAGAATAAGATCAACAATAAGGGAAAACTCAGGGAGGGCTGCCTTCATTCCCCTACATATGAAATAGCCTGATTTATAAAAAAAGCCACCAAAAGACAACCACTTTAGTACACCAATATTTTTTTGGTTAGGAAACAACGATTTATAAATTGTGCTTTGAACAAGAATGTTTATCATAGGCCCGTACTCCATATGGGGTTCCATAATTTTATTATTCCACTGATGGCTCATATTTATTTGATGCTTATGTGACAACGTATTGCAAATAGCCGTAAAATTTTTTAGTTTGGGTACCAAATTTTTGAAATATCCATGTTTCGCCTCAAATCTCATAGTCCATAGATTAACTAATGGACCTAATGATTTCATAATCCGACAGTAATGAAGAAGCATATGATGTTTGGGTAGTCTGCGTTCATCAAAGTTATTATCAAAGAATTTAAGATGATTTTCAATAAGGCGTTCTAGCTTTTCTAGTTCTAGTTTAGTTATGCGTGGTGAAAGAGCAATTTGTGTTATTGATATTATGGAAGAAATTAAATAAAATTTTGCTTTTAAATCGTCATCTAATAGATCTTCTAATATTATTGGAATAAATCTGATTAAGCACCACGTTTGGGCAGCTCGTTGTCCAATTAAATGCCCTGGTTTATCTAATATTATTGGACTTGGTTTATTATTCCTATCTGTTTTACCAAAGGGAAATGCTTGTAACCTCGAATTAATATCACGTATAGTTGCTAGTTTTTTATCAACCAATAGCTTTAAGAATATTTTAATTTCGTAAGGAGCAATGCCTTCTAGGATATCGTGCATTGGATCCACTGAAGCAGAATCAAAAATATTAAAATATTTTAAGTCACATAACCCACTACGACATTTAACGCCAAGTACTTGCTTTTCATCTTTAGCTTGATTACAATGAAGCTCATAATTATTCATGTTCCGTAGTAAAGAAACATCTTCTCGTGTTAATGATTGGCAAGTCTTTTTATCAGCAGTACAAATTCGGCAAAAATTGTTGGCTGAAAAGCTCTCAACCATTCCCAATAATACATTACCACCTAGATTATCGTGTGATAAAGCAACAACCGAGCCAAAAATTGTTTTATTCTGAGGTTCGATAAAAATACCTTGAGTTTCTAAAACTTTAATATCGTTGACAATAGGTTCTAAAATAGCATTTATTCCAAACTGCTTAATGTCTGATGAATAACACAATGCAAGAAGATGTATGTGAGATAGCTGAGAATTTAAATAACTTGGTATGTTGGTTATGCTGAAGTAAAAAGCCCCAATTTTATGAGCTCCAGTTTTACTGCCCAGAGGATTCGTTGTTTCGAAATCGTCATAATATAGTATTATTCTGAGATTACAAGGGTTTTTAAAAAAATTATGATTTTTAATGTAAACACCGTCTTTAATATCATTTATGTACACGTCGTTACTCGTTAAATTAGTAGAGTGTTGTTCAAATAAATTAAAATATTGCTCACAAGTTAAAAGAGATGTTAACGTTCACGCATAAAAGTAAATGTTTACTTCAAACGTATACACTTTAAAAGAAATATATGGTAAGTTCCTATATGCGCAAACAAATGGAAGATTTTATTTGAAAATATGAATTGTTTACAGTTTAAACAATTCAAACAATTAACAGAAATGTTGCTACTACTTGACATAACTCTACGTGAATTGTAAAATGAAAGCTGCAATTTAATTATAACAAGACAAACATGTTCCTTAGTTCAAAATGTAGCTATGTTCAAAAGAACGCAATGAAATATTCAATCAGATATCACTGTGTGCTTTATTGGAATAATAAGCGGAATCAAATCGATAATACCGTTGTTTCATCGAAATATGGTAGTACATTAATAGAAATGTAGTGTTTAATTGGAGTCCATAAACGATATACTCAACGTAAGTATATCTTTGCTTTGTTTCAAGTAAATGTCACAGGACAGGTTTTGAAATAAAGAACGCGGTTATTCGAATATAGTATTATTTAGGTATGTATGATATTAATATATATTATACAAAAAGACATTCGATATAGACGTACATTGCTTAAAATAACAGTGTAACTACACAGATCTTAACGAAAATTAATACAGAAGTATATAGGTATATGGGTAAAAAACTAAAATATAATTTGAAAAACTGCTTACGGAATTTCTTATATTTAAAAGTGCTATAACTAACACATTATGTTTGTTTAAACTTAAAACTATACTACATCGTTAAAAAATCTACATAACATTTACCATTAGCCAATGTGTGCAACTTGGTAGGTAACTGTGATTGTAAGGCCGAAATTTTCACAGTAAAGTAAGTGTCTTGCGGAGATACTTCATACGCTTCAAAATGTTCACAATACCTATCTGTGGAATATCTTTGAACCACAAATAAAAGAGTTTCATATTGTTTACTAATTAAAATATTCTTTATTTTACAATATCTTGGTATGTCATTTGAAATTTCAAATAATAAAAATGAGCCTTTATCATATTTGACTCCATTTATTTCATACCACGATGTACAGAAATAATCGTCTACTGAAATATCAGAAGTGATTGAAGGAAGATTAATAAAAGCATTAACGGGTCCGTAATTTATATAATTACAAAATCCCTTCTGAGCCATGAATCTGTAAGAATATTTAAGTTGCATTCTCAATGCTAATGAATACGGCAGATTTTTTCTACATCTTATGTAGTGAGCAGTGCTTTTTAAATCTTGATGCTTAGCTTCGAATCTCATACATGAAATTAAACTGATCGGACCAATTTTTTCTATAACTTTTACATAGTGTAATAGAAAATGATGCTTGGGCTTTAAGGTACAATCAAATAAGGATAAGTACATTGAATGGTGTTCATTGATTAAAGTTTTAAGTAATTCTAATGTGCGAGGTGTTGTGACGGGCTTAGAAACAATTTCAGTTAAGTTTAAAAGTTTTAAGTAAAAAATCCATGACGGATCATTCGGCGGAATAAGATCGCCCACGATAAACCTGAAATTCCTTACGAAAGTCAACATCTCAGATGCCGAAAATATTATAACTCCATTGGTTAAATGATCTTTAGAAACCTTGGGTGGCGTGTTCTTTTCAAATTTGTCATAGCAAAAGTACTGTATTCTTGAGTTTAATTTTTCGAGTGTGAAATATTTCTGATTAATTAGATTTTTAATAATTAAAGACATGTCATACCTATGGATACCTTCATAAAGGTCATGCATTATATCCACTACTAAATTGTCATATACATGAAAATTTGAAAGTTGATGCCATACACATACTTCTTTTATTCCTATTCTATTTTGTAGATGATTTTCATAATCGTTTTTTTCTCTAACATAATCATTATTTTCTGTAGTTTGGCCTTCAGAATGCCTTTTTGAGACCGTGCAAAACCTACAGAAATACCGGGCTGAAAAACTTTCAACATACCCAAATATAGAATGCAAACCTAAATTGTCACCAGTGATGGCAACGACCGAAAAAAATACTGTTTCAAATTTCCCTCCAGATATCTGTATAGAAATACCATTTTTTTCTAAGATATTTAATTCTTTTATAAGATCCCGAAACGTTAAATCATTACCAAAATAGCTTCGATCGTCACTATAAAAAATTTGAGCTAAAAATATGTTTTCTAGTTTTACTAGAAACGTTGGCGGTATTGTAGCTATTGTATAGTATACAGCACCAATCTTGTAACACCCTGCTTTACTTCCTAATGGATTTCCCGATTCAAAATCATCGAAATAGAAAACAAGGGGCAAAATTACTTTATTGGGAGACTGTTTAACAATATTTTGATAAATTGATCCATGAACCAAATTGGACATGACACCGCCTGGTGTATACATTTCTAATAATGTTGTCTGATAACATCTTATAGCTTTGTATACATCAGGAAGTTCTAAAAACAACTTCAGCGTTTTTGACAAAGGTATGCGATAGGTCATTCTGTTTTTCAAAATCAAATGGGTTTCACTATCAACACGTTTTGGTTCAGATACAACTCCCAATTTGTGCTCTACAGGTTTAACAATATAATTTGAATTTTCAAAGTATTTTAATCTTTTATATTCAGAATCTAGAGCCGAAAATGGATTAAGCAATATTTCAATCATATTGATAATGTTATGAAAAACGGAAGTAGGTAGGTGTTCCTTACAAAATGTCTCAAAGGTTTGCTTCAATAAATTAATTAAACCTGAGGATAAAAGCAACGAACCGAATTTAAAATAATTTGTATACTATTTCTTGGTAATAATGAGCAACTATACAATTCTGAAACAAATTTCTTTAAATTTTGATCAAAAATTTCTGTAAATTGTTTAAAATTCTCTTCAATTGTACTTGAATGAATAGCATCCGAATATTCCGGATAGTCCGTACTACAATCATCATCATTTCCTTTAGTATGAGGCGGTATTGTAGTATTTGGTGGTATATCGGATGAACCGCAGGACTGGAAAGCTGGAAAGCTAGAGATTTCAGTTACATTTGTATGTTTCAAGGAGTAATGTTTTTGAAAATCTTGTTTCCGGTGGTATAGTCTATTACAACTATTAATAGGACATAGATAATGATTGACAATACCATGTGAATATTCTAAATGAAAGCAATATTTTTTTAAAGAACTACAATTCCTACCACATTGCACGCACTTCATTGTAAATTATAACTTACTTGAAATTCGATAAAATATCAGAAACATAAGGTGGAATTTTGTCGGATGGTAAATTAATTTCATAGACACATTTTTGCAGCAATGTGTATATGTACTCCGCCTGAATGGGGTAGTTGGCGTTAATCACATGGAAAATTTTGAACAGTAGGTCGAAAGATCGTTTCGCACTCTCACAAGATAGGTGCACCCTACCGTCTATTACTACATAAAACCTTTTGGGATCCTCTGCAGTCCCTTCGACTAGGAGGTACGGCTGTACTCTTTGACCTCTTGCTTGGGCATTATGAACTTGTTGAGAGATAACCGGTTCTATGTCACCTGCAACCTAAAATAAAACGTTATAAAATAGTAGGCTACGTAAAAGGGAAAAGACAGATAAGTTAGATGTGAAAACTAGGTTTTACAATCCCGTGTATTTGCAGAATAATAATATTCATAATTTTGAGACATACTTCCCATCGGTTGACACAACTCTAATCTTGGAAATTTTAGCTAGAATATTGTTATTCTACAAAGTAGACGACCCATAAACCCTCTTATGTTGTTATTTTTTCCGCCCGCCGCCTGCCCGTGGGAAAAAGTTTAAGTCCCTACTCTGTAAGTGTGAAACTATCAAAAAAGTTTTGTTCTGCTAATTAATAGATCTCATAAATTTTATCCCTTTGCTTGTTTAATTTCCTTTAATGACCTAAATCTAAACGTCAAACGATCATACAATGTGAAAAGAAAGTATATTTAAATAAGGTGCCAGTGATATATACCTTTGCCGTGACAACGATGGCGTGAAGAGTTTCTAACGTTGAAAACTTCCAATGTTTATTTATCGCCTTTTGGGTAATAATCCTTCCCTTTGGTGGGAGAAAATACGGCAGAAGCGTCAATTGCTTCAGAAATTTAGCATCTACGAAAATATTAATTAACATTGTTGCAATATTGGGTTAGCATCAAGTAATTTGCCAGTGTTACATTTGCTAAATCTTTGAAATACTACTCTAATAGGTACTTTTAAAGAAAGTAAAAATTGTGAACCTATGACTCGATCAAATACATACCTTCGTTTTCAGTTTGCGGGACAGATTCGTGCAGTTGCAAAGCCACGGAATCTTTTAGGCAATTTAACTTTAAGTTCGCGACCACTTCAAAAAATGATTCCCACTTTGTATAAAGTTTCAGTTCCTTCTCTGGGAACAACTTTCGAAAATCTTGATTAATCTGCAAAAACATTGCCTTATAAATATAGTATTCATGTAACCCAATAACAAAGATTTCAAAAAGCTATTAACATAAATACATACCAACACATCACTTCTTAGGTCTCTTAAAATGGGCCATCTTTCTAAATATTCCTGTACGGTAGGACAATCTTTGTCACAACGTCTTAGATCGTATGTATTGTTCCATTTTTCCATTACCTCCGCCCATGGTTCACTGTTCACCTTTAGCCATGTCATATCATCATTGTTAACTCGTCCCCTCTTCTCAAGTATTTCATCTGTGCTGTCGTTTGACTCTTTCGATCTTCTTTTTCTTTTGGGATTCGCTTCTTCGCACTTATGAATCAAATTACGAACCTTATCCACCAATTTTCCCCTTGCCAAAACTGATTTTCCTATAATGGATTCTGATTTCCTTATTGGTGGAACATAGTAAGTTCCTAAACATTCTCGAGGAAACAAACTAATAATTTTAGCAGCTACTTGATTGTACTCTTCGTGTTTCATACGGCTGAAATTGACATCACCGATAAACTTTCTCAAGCAAATAACCAATGACTTACTTTTTTATGATGTAACTGTACATATGTTTAATAATTATGTCCACAAGCCTTGTACGACGCGTGTGGTCCAAAATATTGTGCTGCTGATAGTATTTCAATATACTACTTCCCATTGGAGTAGTTTGCAGTAGAGTCCGAAGATCAAAATCAGGAAAACTTAATTGTGGTGTGATAATATTCGCTACATTAAAATCAATAAATTCAAATTGTATGTCTTGGGAGACTTCTGTTGCCGTTGTGTTATGGATATTTGGTGTAGTCGCCCCTTCAATTCCACTAGGATCGTCGCTGTAAATAGTAATTGTCGAAGCGGGAGATTCGGTTTCTCTAATTGTTGAATCGGAAGCATTGCAGTCGTCCTTAATAAATAAAATTTTTATAGATAACAATTTTCACAATAATTTTGCTTATACCTGTTGTTGCAATTCCCTAATTCGCAATGATATCAACTTACGCATGCCAAGTGAATTAGGCAACAGTTCGCGAAGCTCTTTGTCATTGAGATGCTTTAGCAACTCTATCCCAATATCATTTCCTAAAAATAAGCTCACTTTGTTATTGGGTTAAGTGCAGTAACTGAATGTATGGCTAAGACATGCCTTCTCCAAATACATTTTCATTGTTATTCTTATTATTTGTAATACTAACACAATAAAAATTTCAAATAATTTACTTACTTTTAAACACATCGATGGTCTCCGCCGTACAACCCCAAGACGCCATCAAATCTTGTACAGTGGATGGAGCCGTTGCGGTTGCGGTATTTTCCATCATTAAATAATCGATGATAAATTACTAACTGCATACACAAAAACCCGAACACAATTTGTTAATAGCAAAGGGAAGATGCGATTACAAATTAAAACCATTGAATGCTAAACTAAAAACGCTGGACTGCAAGACGCAAGTTGTAACGCTTTTACGTGTCGGTAAACTCGCAACTCATCAAAATATGATATACTTAATTATCAGTGCTACGTATATGTCATATGCTTAAATTAAACTTTCATATTCTTCTTTTAAATAAAGGTGGCTTTTAATGAACCAAGTAGAAGTTTAAATATACCATATATTTCATTTAATGCGCACACTATTGAATTCAATACATCCCGCAATTCTAATCGAATATATACTAATCTTTTAATTGATGCGTTAAAGATTTTTTATCCAATTCAGTATTTGTTCAAATTAAACTCCAGATCGTTATTTTGAAACTATTATGTAAGCATTTAAAATAGTCCAAACAAGGATTACTTTCATTTTTTTCCAAGTAAAGATACTTCAGTTAAAAGGGTATTATTTCAAAATGACTTTATACTTTCAAATAAAATAGTATATTTCATTAAAGAAATCTGTTTTATGCGTGTTGATAGAATAGGTACATAAGAAAATGTACTGGTTACATTTTTCTCAATATACTGCTGACTAGATTTATCAAATACTTGATCTCTACGTATGCCTATTGTAACTTGTTTGGGTAAGACTAATGATTTATGAATTAATTTGTTACGTTTGTAAGAAGTATTTAACAATTCAATGTCTTTCTTTATTGCTGCACTTCGGTTTTGTAAATTATCTAATAATTGTAAAGAGTTGTTACTGTTTGAATAAGCGTTGGTTTCTCCAATAATATTATCAACAACATTTTCAATTAAAAATTGTGTGGATTGAAAAATAATCTGTATGGTTGTTTCTGGAATCCCCAAAGAGTGTAACTTTGTAGTATATGCCAACAAATATTCTTTAAAATCAAAGTTCGATGCAGTATTGTCAAATATTTCAGTAACGTTACTATTAGTTTCACATTTAGCAGTATGTATATCATCTTGCAGTTGTTCAACTCCGGCAGGTAGTACAAGAGGAACTTGTACATTATCATTAACTTGGGTTACAGTATCGAAAACTTCTGTCAAATTATCAGAACTTACAACACAATTAAGAGTGTGACGTTTATAACCGCAGTAGGTATAGAACTTTAATTTGCACTTAGTGCAAATCAGTTCAAAATTTGTTAAATTTTCATAGAGACAGTGTTGTTTTCTTAAATGCTTTGACAATAATTGAAAAGATTCAAAATTACTGGCACATTTAAAACAAACCAGCATTGTACTGGAATAAGTAAATCAAAAATCAAATAAACTAGCATTTGCTTATAAGGCGAGATTTATTATTGCGCTAATAGTTTTGATCGCAATTCTCTAATATTGGGCGTGATTTTAATATCGTCTATACCGTAAAAAAACACTTGAATGAATTTATAGAAAATTTCTAGTGTAGGGTCATAAGTTAAATTAAAAACGAAAAACGATTTAAAAAGGAGGTCAAAAGCTTGCCCAGAATTAGTAATGCTTTCCACCGCAAGTACCTTATTATCTACCGATATAGTGTAGTAATCTACCGCTTTCTCTGAAGATCCAGAAGCGATTAAAAAAGGTTGATTAGTTTTTTTGGCAGTAATTATTTCCTCGAGTGATTCACTGTTCTAAAAATTAATAATGTAAGCGTAACAAAGAAAAGGGTTGCTTAGTTCTTTACCTTTTTAAATACAATAAGCCTTTTACTAATTTCTGGCAGTGATTCCCTGTTCACCGCCTTTTTGCGTCCCTTGGATGTAGCTGGCAACAACTTGATCAACATAAACAAAGTTTTAGTTGTGACGTCAAATTGATTTAGGTATTCATTGTCGGAGTTTATCTCATTGCAATAAATATTTTTAACTTTTTCCGATATATTCAAAATTTGCAACTCCAGATTAATGCAGTCATTGTTGGGATACAGCAATCCAAAATCCAAAGATATCTAAAAAATTAATCGAGAATTATTTCAGATACAAAGGGTGTTAGTACAGTGGGCATTTATCAAACATATTGATATATAATACTAACCAGTCCAGGAGTGTCTAAAAACCTAGGAAATTCTTGAAAGATGTTAGTCTCGTTGCAAAGTTTTCGTCTAGCCAAAAATGTCGCTTTGAACTTCTCTATTAGGTCCGGATCTTTAGGATGGGTGTGTTTTAAATAGTCAATGTCCTCTTGGAAATTATCAAGGTTTATCTCTTCAACATTCAGTTTTGGTTTTTTCTGTGGTATTTCTGGCCTGTTTTCTTTTGAAGATCTTCTGACAGTTCTCAAACGCCAATCTATGTACCCAGATCGCTCGTCGGGGTTATAAAATGCTTCCTATAAGAAAATTGGAAGTTATTTATATTTTTTACAATAAGTAATTTAGATAGCAATAGCATGCAAAAAGCAAAATCATAGATTTCAACTGACATAGCCATATTTGCTGCATGGATCTCTCAAATTCGGGAAGAGGTCGATAATAGCTTTAGCATACATAGTCTTTATATATTTTAAAGGTTGTTGGCCGTATTTTTCTATCATATCTAACACAATCACGTTCACTAACAATCTTCGGTTTCCTCTTGTTAAAAGTTTCTTTGTTTCATATTCTGTGATAATCTGTGTAGCTCCTACGCGAATTAATAAGTTTTGCAAGGCCTGAAATGAATAATGTTAAATAACAAAATAGCTCGCAAAATAGTATTTACAGGGTGGTGTTTTTAAGTGGACCATTAGAAGTATCTCAGGAACGGTTTGGAATTTCGATTCGACCCATTATCTTTTTTGAATAATCGATCAAAAGGAATCATTTTAAAATATTTTCAAGATGGCCGGTTTTCGGGTTGTACCCGAACGATACCGGAACTTTCTTATTTCAATTGGCACTATCTCATAATTCCTCATAAAAAATCAGAATGACTTTGTCAATATGATGGTATGTCTAACTGGCATGGTTTTGAAGTTATTTGATATTTTTTCAGTGTTTCAGAGGTTCCGTAAATTAGCCATATCACTGTTGTCTGACAACTTAGCAAAATGCTTTTATCACCAATCGACAGCTAAAAGTTCAGGCTATCAAATGTTATTGGTCGGATTTTCAAATGCGAATCGAAAATAATGCGAACAAGAGTTCAAAGTAGACAATCGGTTTATCGTCAAAAACTCGATATTTTCAAATGGAAACTTTATTATGCATCAATGGAAAGACCATAAAAAAGCGGACAAAAAATGTATTTGCAAAATTTTTCTAAAGTGGTCAGTTTTCAATTTATTCGTCAAAAATAAAAAATTTTCAAATAGCAAAATCAGAACTTCATTCTATCCACCTCATAAATCTAGATGTCATCAATAAAATCACTCAAAACAGTTGAACATTTGAGTGTCATAAAGACGTCATAATTACTCATTTTATGAAAATTCAACAAAACAGTACACGAATCAAAATGAAACAACTGAATCGGTGACGTCTATACATTTTTTGTCTGTTTTTTTAATGGTCTTTCCATTGCTGCATAATAAAGATATGGTTTCCATTTGACTATTTCTCTCGTCTTACTTTCGACCAATCACAAACGCGCAATTTTGAATTGCACATGGTTTCTAGATGGAAAAACCGAATGACAGCACCTGTCAGTAGTTTTTTCGAGATTACCCGCGGCAAAACTTGACAGCTGTTGTCACCAAAAATTACATTACCTTTGACATTACTGATGAAATAGTCTTGTCAAATACCATTCGGGCATCAAATTTTTGCTGTGTAAAAAATTGAAAAAACACAATGCAAAGTAATATTTTGTTAACAAAATGCATTCGTGCAGCTGCAAAAATCCTCGTCTTCGACTCGGATTTTTGTTGCCACCAGCATGCTTCTTGTTAAAATATTACTTAGCAGCGTGTTTTTTCGATTTTTTCGGAAAAATTAGATGCCCTTATGCTATTACTACTGAAAATATCGAGTTTTTGACGATAAACCGATTGTCTATTTGAACTCTTATTCATATTATTTTCGATTCGCACTTGAAAATCCGACCAATAACATTTGATAGCCTGAACTTTTAGCTGGCGATTGGTGATAATAAAAGCTATTTCCTAAGTTGTCAGACAACAGTGATATGGCTAATTTACTGAACCTCTGAAACAGTGAAAAAATGTCAAATAACTTCAAAACCATGCCAGTTAGACATACCATCATACTGACAAAGTCATGATTTTTTATAAGAAATTTGAAAATGCCATCAGAAAAGATAGTGCCGTTTGAAATAAGAAAGTTCGGTATCGTTCGGGTACAACTGGAAAAGCGGCCATCTTGAAAATATTTTTAAATGATTCCTTTTAATCAATTATTCAAAAAAGATAATGGGTTCAATCGAAATTCCAAACCGTTCCTGAGATACTTCTAATGGTCCACTTAAAAACACCACCCTGTATAGTATTTGGAGATTTCCATGCAGCTTGACCATTAGATATCAACAAGAAGAAATATTTTTTTACGCAACTATTGGGTATAATTTACACTTTTTAAGGTTTCTATTGTAGGTAGGTAACTACCAATAAAAAATATTGCACCAAATGGAAAAAAAAGGGAAGTTATTGAACAAATTATGCATTAGGATATCTTGGACATTTGTGCATGAATAAAGTCGTTAGAAGCACTATTTTTTCAGTTACCTCTTTATCAAAACTACTTGGTACCGAGGTTGGTACAATAAATCCTTGCAAATCGTTGATAGTAACTATATCTTCACTACTCAAAGTTATTGTAGTCGACTCTGAAATCGTCGAGCTGGAACTGGAAATACTTGGAGCAGAGGGATTGGCATCAGCACCAGTATTTATTCGAGTATTTACAATGCGAAATATAAAACCCTTTTCTACTCCTTTTAAGAAATCGACAAAATCATCGTTTTCAATCTGGCATCCAGATGTGTCACACAGTATCACATCATTCGGATCCACATCATTGATAT